GGGAGGGAGGGAGGGAGGGGAGAGAAAGTCAAAAGGGCTATAAATACTTGAGAAGTCCTTGAGGCAGTCTGGACTACTCCCTCCTCCTTGAAGACATGGACTGTGGCCACGTCCGAAGACACTTTGGATTGTCATAGTCAAGTAGGGGTGCTGTGGTCACCCAGTCATGGAGGTCATGGATGCTGATACCCACCCTACAACGCAGGGGACAGTCACCATGACTAAAGAATTATTGAACATCAAAGGCTAACAAGGTGGAGAGATTCTACTATAAACCAACTGAAAATGAAGGCCATAAAAGAGAGAATTGTGGGAGGGTAGCAGAAAGAATTTGAAAATAGCGTAATTCAAACCTGTTCACAAAAAGGCTTGAGGTTGATCTGGAGAGGGAACGTGTAACAGCTGGTTTCCTTATAGCGTTCACATTTCACAAAATCAAAATTAAATCTTAGTAATGAAACAGTAAGAAAGGGAGGCAGCTTACGCAACTTGGCAGACTGTAAAAAGAAAAAATTGACAAAGTTTCAAAAATGTAGTTACATGAAAGGATACATGCTACCTATGACACAGCAACACATACACTCTTAAATCGTATAACCTTACCATGAATTCACTTTATGGGATTGATGATGGCACTCATTTACATTTACAACAAAGTGTTTATAAGGTAGTTTTATGTTTTTAGGATTGCTATCCAAAATTACTGTTTGATGACTATGTCATACCTGGGCACACCCTCTGTCACTGCTTATCTCTTGCCCAGCCCTTGGCATTTCACTCAGCTCCTAGGTCTCCAGTTTACATAGCAAACACACAGCTCTTATCAGTGAAGAACTGGAACTCTGAAGGATTGGAAAATTTTACATGTATATGTATTTTTTTTTTTTTTCTGGAGAGATGATCCATAGCTGTCATAGACTCAAAAAGGACTGTGACTCCCCAGAGCTTGTGATCTACCAGCTAGAGTTTTATTTGTTGTTGCAAAGTTCAAAAGCAGACATCTTATTGCTGTTTTAATTCTAAACGAAACACTAATTAAGATGCTTTTTAAGAGTCATCACTTGTCCACAATCCTCCTGCACTGGTGGCCTGAAGGGAGAAACAATCCCACAAATTCTATGGGTTAAAAAAAAAAATGGGCCGGGCGAGGTGGCACACACACTTTTAATCCCAGAACTTGGGAGGCAGAGGCAAGTGGATCTCTGTGAGGTCAAGGCCAGCCTGGTCTACACAGTGAGTTCCAGGACAGCTGGAGCTACAGGGAGACCCTGTCTCAAAAAGAAACCCCCAGCACCCCCCCCCCAAAAAAGGAAAAGCCTAGGCATGGTGTTGTATACTTATAATCACAGCTGGTATCCTTATGGATTCGGGAGGATGAAGCAGGAAGAACATGAATTTGAGGATGATCTGGGCTACACAGTAACAGAAACAAAAGAGAATAAAATAGGCATTATAACACGGCGTATCTCCAAACATGCCTGAATGATATGCCGAAAAAAACAAAGCAACTCAACTATAAAACAACTAAGCGAAAAGCACCACAGTGCTCACAGGTAGAGAAGGAGACGAGAGGAAGGCCAGAGGGGGTGGTGAATGGCTCATCCGGTCCAGCGGAGTGGGAAACAGCATTTGTGTTATGCGTACTAAACACACAGGTCATCTCCAGCCATCATTTTTATATTCCTGAATTCCTAGGACTTAGCAGTTTTACTGGTACTGATAATGTTTTGATGGATGTTAACCATGAAAAATACATGAAAAACAACTTCACCCTGAGTATCACGAACAGCTGTGGAAGGGTGGTGAGGGGGACATATACTTGGTTGCTATATAAGGTAAAGGAGGGAAAAGTCTCCTAAAAACCTCTTCCAAAATCTGTCTTCTGAAGAGAGCCACTGACACACGACTCCTTGAGAATATGTAGGTAAAGTGCTCTGGATCCAAAGGGCCCGGGTAGCAAAGTGGATGCCTGGATCCAAAGGGCTCAGGTAGCCAAGCAGACGCCCCCCAACACCCGAACTGAACAAAATGTGGGGCCAACGCCAGCAATGCTGGGTACTGACACGCCAAAGCCCGGCCTCTCGGGGGAGCTGGAACACGCAGTGCGCAGTGCAGGCTAACGGCGCCCGTGAGGGTCCGTTAAGATGCAGCTGCCCGGCACGTTCTTGTTGAAGTCTCTATGCCTTCTGTAGTCTAGAGTGATGAACATTTACACGAATGGAATGGCGGTGGTGAGTTAACCTGAACACCATCAGAGTCCACATGGGTTCACATGCTTTACTTTTCTTTCTTAGCTCATACTGAAAAGGAAATGCACTTTAAAAAAAAGTTTCTTATTGAGCTTTTGTATATCTCATACAACAGTTCTTAATCAAATTTAAACCGCTTTTCCCATACATGGCCCCTACCCCTTGGCCAAACCTCACGCATTCCACTATCCATGTTAAGTCAGGCATTTGCACCCAGATGGTCTTCCGTATAAATTCATCCACTGGAGTGTAGTCAGCCTATTCAGAGACTGTAAATTCGGCCTACTGTCCCTCACCCAGCAGTAATCAGTCTTTAACAGTTCCCAGATAGGGCTGGCTGCCACCTACTTTCCTTGCTCCACTCTGAGCTCTTGTCTGACTGAGTTGACATGGGTCTTGTGCTCCATGCCACCACTGCCGCAAGTTCACATGTACAAGCTTCCAGTGGCCTGAAAGCCTCTGTGTCCCTATGTTCATGGACCAAGCCTGGCTCTTACAATCTTTCCACCTCCTCTTCTGCAATGGTCCCTGAGCTGTGGGAGGTCTGATATAGGAGTCATCCAGGGACACACACCCTCTGCAGTCTCCTATTCTGTGAAACCTGGCCAGTTGTGGCCTTCTGTGTACATCGCTCTGTTGTAGAAGGAAGCTTCACGAGTGAGAGCTGAGGGAGGCACCAGTGTTCTCTCTGCCCCGTTCCGCTATGTTTCATGAGTTCCACAACTGGTCACACAGAGAATACACATCTGAGAGGTGCCCAGCCACAGGTGACACGTCTAAGTAGAAGCTCTCCACCTAAGAAATCTGCTCTTTAGTCTCCTTTACGCTTTGCCTTGTCGTACAGGCAGAAATAAGGAATGTGCCATGGACGGCCGTAACTAGCAAGGTAACATCCAAGTGGGAAAAGGCACAGGTGTCGCTGGAGTGCAGGCGTGTACAGCGGGACGGGGAGGCACAGCCAGGAGCACCGTGGCAGAAATAAAAACAGAGACCAGCTCCTCCATGACAGCACTTTGCCAGGCGCAAGTTTATCCCAGGCAACTTGAGGGACACTGAGGTACAGATATGTTTATCCAGGGACAGAAGTTGCATTGTTAGGTTAATAAAGCTTAAAACATTATCTTGTTGTTGTAAAAAATTAAGACAGGTAACACCATAAACACCTTCTCCATCCTCAGCTTTACACACACTCGGGCGTATCTTCCAGACCCCACACAAGTGACCTTGGCTGGCACACATTCCTGTCTCCAAGCACAGGGAAGGAAGGCAGGTTACCTTGGCTGCTTCAACCAGCCGGTCACAGGTCCCACAGTGGTACAGGTTGTCACAGTCGAACACTTCTTCTTCTACGTACATGTTCCGGAGTGCGTCTTCCAACCCAGACACATTTTTGACGGCTACTGTCAGATCTAAGAAATCTTCCTGAAATATCAGAGTATTCTACTGAGAAAAGAGGTGATTTCACAGAGGTTTATAAACATTTACCAGCTCAACATATATTGGGAATAATCAAATATATGTTTTTAAAACACTGCACACATGAAGCCAAGTGCTGGGATTCAAGGTGTGTGCCACCATGCCAGGCAGCTACTAACTTTCCTTTTTTTAAAAAAAAATTTATTATTTTTATTTTATGAGTATGACTATATTGCCTGCATGTAGGTAGGTGTGACTGTGTCAATGCAATACCTGCAGAGGTCAGAAGAGGTCACTGGATCCCCTGGAACTGGAATTACAGATGGTCATTAGCCACCATGTGGTGCTGGGACTTGAACCCTTGCTCTGCAAGAGCAGCCAGTGCTCTTAACCACTGAGCCATCTCTCCAGCTCCCTTAATTAACTTTCTTTACAATATTCCAGCCACTATGAAATTGATTTCTTTCATGAGTGCATAGTCTCCTACTTGTAAACATGTCCCCAAACTCTTTTCCAAATATCAGAGAACTGAATAAAGATTGTTTTAAGAATGTACAGGCTGGTGAGATGACTTAGTGGGTACAGGCACTTACCACCAACCCTGACAACCTGAGTTCTATCCTCAGGATCCACATGGTGGAAAGAGAACCAACTCCTGAAGGCTGTCTTCTGACCTCTACGTAAGTGCTGTGGTACACATACACCCACACACATATGACTTACACACACAAGTGAGTACATAAATGTAGTAAGAATTTTCCTTTTTCAGACTGTGTGAAGAAATCTGGATTATGTGTACAGAGTAAAAAAAAACTGATGGGGGAAGAGGTCTAAATTTGATTATGATCTATCATATGAAATGCATAACTCACTAAAATACACGTTAAAATTGATGCACTACTTCTAGTAACATGCATTACAGATTTAACTGCATGAATTATGATTTATGAGTATTTATTACCGAAATGCTCATTTCCTCACCTGCTTCTCACTGACATTCATACACTCCTTACAAACAATCTGGTTCACAATGGTTCCATGGTACAGACGATCGATGAGGTCATGGCCAGAGGTCCCAACCAAAGAAGTTTCCAAAGCACTGAAGAGAATTCGATTCAGTTCCTGCACATCATGTTGTCTCATTTCCTACAAAGCAGGTAACATTTTTTGTTTTGGAGATGGGGTCTCAGTGTAGCAAAGGCTGGTTGTGACTTAATTTTTCTGCTTGAGCTTCTGTGTGCAGATATTATAGGCATATGCCCAGCTAAAACAGGTAGCTTTAAATGTAACTTTTGCTTCAAATTTTTAAAAACAATATCAGTTAACAAGAGCACATAAGAAACACCTTGAACAGATGATTAAGCAAAAGTAGACAAGATCAGATTAAAATATCACCACCTATTTTATTTATACCACAAAATGGAAATGTAACTAGGCAATGTGTGGTGTACACACACTTCAGCTCCCCAGCCCTGCAAAGTGTACTATCTACTATAGAGACCACACACCTGGCCAAGCCACAAAGAAGTAAATAGCAGAGAGGTTGAGACAGCATCTAAGAGCCAGTGGTGAGTATACAGGGAAAGCTCACTTAGATCACATGGCTCATGAACAGCACAGATGAGCTAGAGCTGACCACTCTCGAGTATAAACCAACAAAACAAGATTAACAGTGTCACTGAGGACAATTCCAGTGGGATTTAATCCATTAGGAGTCATTTGGCTGTGTGTCAATTACTCCTTAAAAACAGGGTTAAATGGGATGGAAGATGGGTAGAATAATTAACACTAAATATGTTTTTAAAAAGTCACATGGAAACCTACTACTCTAGAAACTTCCTAAAACAAATACATGCATATATATGAAGAATTGAAATGGGGTGACACTGCCCCACCACAGGCTATCAAGTAAAAAGCCTAGTGCCAAGAACAGGCTACCTCTTTTGGGATTGTTGGTCATTGGGGTCCCATGGATCCCCAAATTACAAACTATTGTCAGTGCTCTTGGTTACCCTCCAGAACTTGATGATAAGACCTTATTCCTAAAGACACCACATGTCTGAGTCACTGAACATGGAGAAATGAAGCTGGTACTGGCCGGGAAGCTTCATCCCTACTGGCTAGCTTTCATAGTGATGGAACGTGCTGCCAGGGCAGAAGAGTTATCATCAGTTTCATCCAGCTGTGAACACTGTGTGCTAACAATAATGACAGGCCTTGCAAGACATGCTCACTGCTGCAACAGTGGCAGGCAGGTTATAGGAGTAATCAACCACTTTCTGATTAGATTTAAGGCCCATTCCATGTGATGGAACTCAGACCTGGTACTTTTATCGGGGCCAAGAACCTAAGCTAGACAGTTACAGGTCCTTGGGGAGAACCTACTACTAGTACTCGGTGGATGGATGTAGTATCAATCTGACTCCTAAAGACTTACCTTTATACCCACTAGTACATCTCGGAACTCTCATCAAAGAAGTTTCTTTTTGCAGCAGATGACAGTTAACAAATGGTCAAGGTGCAGGGAATAGGAGATTTTGGAGTGTTTAGCCTTAAGTGAGACATCTGTTATCACATGCCTTCCCCCAAGCATCAGGGATCATTGTGGAGGGGACAGAAGGAGTGTCAGATGAGCACAAGGAAGCTGTTTTCTAGACATATTAGGGGAGCTGCACATATAAAGTCACAGTGGTTGTGACGGCCTGCACAAGACCCGTGCAAGTTCAAGCCAGAGAAAATCCCAGCATGGAGGGTGGAGGTGGGCTTGGAGTTCCATCCCTTGCTGAGGAACTACTGGAAACTGAGCTGCTGGGAGAGGGAGAGTCAGCTTTAAGAGTGTGATCCCTGGTAGGCTGACCACACTCCAGCTGATGGCCACACAGCCAAGAGCATGTAGGTAAGACAAATTGGACTTCGGTTTAAAAAAAAAGAGTGGACATCAAGTTGGGTGGGTAGGGAAGGGGAGGGTGGACCTGGGAGGAGTTGGGGAGGGCTGATGAATATGCTCAAAATACAGTGAATGAAATTTTCAGAATAAAAAGTGAGGAAGAAAAAAAGTTCACACAGAGAATGGCAGGTGAGCATGATGAAAATACACTGCGTGAGCTTCTCAACGAACTAACAAAATGAAGAAGAAAAGTGTTTACTTTTCTCGTGAGAGAGCGAGAGCGAGAGAGAGAGAGAGCACAATCTGTCCATCAAAGGCACGTACCATCACTGAGAAGGAGAAAAGAGCAGTGGCCAAGTCCCAGGAGGAGCCTTGGCCTTGTCCTGAAGGAAAACACTGCTGAGCCCTCCCCACCGACACAGAAAAGTGTGCAGACACAGGAAAGTGGCTTCTGGCTTCGGCCGTGGCTGTAACTGTTGACTGCTGAGTAAAGTCAAAAGGAGGCAGAGGAGCAATTCAGGGTACAGAGAGAGGCAGCCAGGACAATGGGAAAATAAATTTCACCTACAGACAAAGGGGATGAACCTGAAGCAGGGGTGGGACTGGTGACCTTTTCCTGACTTTTCAAATGTTACTGGGTGCAAACCTGTCCACATTACCGGCTCTGAAGGAAAACTTCAAGCAGACCCTCTCTTACCACTTCAGGTCCAGTCCTTTACTTAGGAAAAAAATGAAATAAAAAAAGTGTTTCAAGGCTGAAGAATTAGGAAGCCAGCAACTTACTGGAAGCTCAAAAAAGAAAGGGAAGTCTCCATGAACCAAAGAGTGGATTGAAATAAACACTGTTCCGTGTCCACTCAGCAGAGATCACTGGGCAGTAAGAAGGAATGACCCTTGAAAACATTATCGTAAGTGAAACGTGCTAGTTACAAATGATCACGAATTGCACAATTCTGTCCCTATGAAATGTTCGGGACAGGCAGAACTAGAGATAGAAAGTAGGTTAAAGGGTAGCCAAGGGCTGGAAGAGGGGGTGGGGAGGAAAGGGAAAGGCGTGGACCATTTCTTTCTGGGCAGTGAAAATGTTCTAACATAGTTAACTGTAGGCGGCCAACTCTGAAAACACTACAAAGCCACTGAACTGTATCTTTTAAAAAAATATTTTATTATTTTTATTTTATGTGTATGCATGTATTGCCTGCATGTATGTAAGTGCACCCATGTTGTGCAATGCCCTCAGAGGACAGAAGAGAGGAGTCATGGACAGTTGTTAGCTGCCATGTGGATGCTGGGATTCAAACCCAGGTCTTCTGCAAGAACAGCCAGTGCTCTTAACCCCTGAGCCAGCTCTTAACCCCTGAGCCATCTCTCCTGCCCCTGAACCGTACCTTTTGAAAGAGTGAATTTTGTGGCATGCAAATCTCAATGAAGTGATTGTGGTTTTAAAGGGAAGGATAAAGAAATTCATCCCAAGTGCCAGACACATACCTACACTTGTTTAGGGACTGTATTATCACCTCCTTTCAAAGTCTCCTCTACAATCCCAGAGCACAGCACCACCGGATTAAGGAGTGCTCCTGGGTAGAGGGCTACGGTTCAAAGCTTACTGGTAAAAGCAACGTGGAGTATTGCCATCACTGCCTCTTTGATTCTGTGACCGTCTCCTGTGCCTGTCTTTGCAGGAATATCCCTAGTCCATAAATAATGGAAAACCCTGAGTTGTGTGAATTCATATACTAACAGCTAGTCAGTATTGATAAGCACTCTTTTAAAAAAAAATTTTTTTTTTTGACAGGGTCTCCCTGTAGTCCCAGCTGCCTTGGAACTCACTGTGTAGACCATGCTGGCCTTGAACTCACAGAGATCCGCCTGCCTCTGCCTCCCGAGTGCTGGGATTAAAGGCATGTGCCTCGATAAGCACTCTTACTTGTTGCCAACAAGTGTTTGTTTGTGGTAGTTCACCTTCTGGGAAGTCAAGCAGAAAAGTGAAGTTAAAGACCTAGAGTAGAACAGGGAGGAAAACGAAGTGGGGTCAGGAGCATGTTATGATCAGAACTCCCAGAGTCAAACACAAAGGCAGACAGCATTGTAAAAAATCATCAGTTCAGGGGCTGGACAGACGGCTCAGCAGTTAAGAGCACTGGCTGATCTTGCAGAGAACCCGGGTTCGATTTCTAGCACTCACATGGCGGCTAACAACCTTTCACAACTCCAGTTCTAGGGGATTTGATGCTCTCTTCTGACCTCTGTAGGCAGTGCACTACACTAACACACATAAAGTAAAAATAATAAATTTCTAAAGTGTTTAAAAAAAAATCATCAGTTTATCCATTATTGGCAAAGACTAAAATGTTGCTGAACAGTTTGCTATAGAAATAGTAAATAATTTCTATGTAATATGTGTTCTTGCTCAACTAGACTATATAAAAATTATTAAGAGTATACATTTCAAAAGCCAGCTCCTGTACGCCTGCCTGTGTTCACAGTGTTCCCCTCGATACTGAGTCACAGCCAGTCATATACCCTAGATACAGTAAGTACCTAAAAACATACATGTGGCCCCAAGACAAGATTAAAGAAGTTAGGTAATAGGCTAGCCAGTTAACTCTTTCCTCCCACACTGGCAACTTCCTACCTCATCACTGCTCCACCCAAAGCTGTCAGTGAGGTCTATGGTGGATGCGGCTTCCTGGTCCAAGAGCAGGAGCTGGGCAAACAAGCGCTGCAGCTGCAAAGGTATGATCCGGACCTGGGGAGAGACAGACGTTTCCATGGAACCCGAGGAGCCGAGCCAGGCTTTCGAAAGCTGCTTATCTCCTGGTTCATTCAGCAGAAAGGGCACACGTCCCTCACTACAGAGGGAGAACAAATTAAGACACAGTTCTTCCAAAATTCTAATTCAGTCCAAAAAGTTTTAGTTATCTAGAGTTTTCTCCTTTGACAGAGTTCAGATCAGTATCAAGACTCAAATCGTCCTTAATAAACCATGCAAACGACCAGAGTTAAACTTCCCATAGTTCATTCTTTCTCTAAAGTATCTCTGATACACACACACACACACACACTATATATATATATATATTCAAGGTGAATGTAGGAATTTCCCAGGCACATACATCTCACTATGGAGTTCTGATCCTTCAAGAAGCCAGTCCACAGGGCTAGAGAGATGCTCAGAAGTTGAGAACATTGGCTGCTCTTGCAGAGAACCTGGGGTTTGGTTTCTAGCACCCTCATGGAGGCTAACAACTGTCTGTAACTCCAGTTCCAGGGGATCCAACACCATCTTCTAGCCTTTGTGGGCACTGCACACATGTGGTACACTTACATACATGCAGACAAAACATTCACAAAGTAAGCTGGTTCACATCCTGCCTCCCTTCCTGCTAGCTCCAGGCCTGAGAGCAAGGTGTCTCAGGGGCCAGTGCGCAGGCCAGACTCTAAGGAGCCAAAGGGTAGAGTAAGCATTTAGGAACGCCTGTGACAGCTCTCCACTCCCATGACATTAGAAAGCATACACTACAAAAGTATGGATCTGCAGCGGATTGGGTAGAGGAAGCCCACAAAGCTTGTTCCCTGTCTGTCTGTGAGACATGGGGCTGCAGCACAACACAGGACCATTAACAAGAGGAGAACTAAGCCTGAGTATGACAAGGCTTCATGAGTGAGAACACGCCAAGATCCACACTTTAAACATGATTTCGCTCACGTAACGTACAAAACCACACACCAATTTCCTCCCTGTGTACTTCCAGAACATCAAGTTGAAAATACTGGTCTCAAGGGTTTCTCCACACAGTACTGCAAGTAAGTGCATTAAATAAATGTTCTGGGAGGCTGGCATAGAAAATTTCTCCATACCTCCTTTACCATAGTGTAAACGCAGAGCAAGGTCTATTTAACGGAACAGCCTCATCCATCATATTTGGGAAAGTCATTCCTTTGTGGAGGAAATTTTATTGCTAACTAAGTATAAGGCAAGTCACTCTCTGACAATAAAGACAATACTTTGTAATAAATTTGTTTTCTATGAATAAGGAACTTAATTCCATCCTTAAACTCCATCTCCTAGGCTAGGAAGATGCTCAGTGGGTAAAGTGCTTGGCATCCACGAATGAGTGAGGTGGCCAGACCGATGCTGAGCAGGTGTGGCAGTCTGCCTGTACCCCAGCTCTCAGAGGCAGGGGTGAGGGAGCCCCGCTAGAGTAACAAAAACAGTACACGTGAGAGACCTTGCTTCAGTGAATATGGGAAAGCAATGGAGGACCTCAAGCTCTGGCCTCCATACATGCAGACAAACAAGCATATACACAGACATGCACACCAACACTCTAAAAGACTCTAGGAAATTATAGGGTTAGTACCTTTGCATCAGGCTTATCCTTATCTTCTAAAGAACCAAGCTCTTCTGGACCAAGAGAAAATAAAGCTTCTAAACAAAAAAAAAGTAGAGTTAGACATGAAAATTATATGATGACATCTTAGAAAATTATTTAGAAAGCCAAGAACACCAGTAAGCAATACCAGTTACAGATCCAGAGATGACAAAGGCAGGGCTTGTACCCTCATGCTACATATTTTGCATTCTTTTAACATTTTTGTGCACTGAATCTAAGAAAATGAAGTGACATACTAAGGCTTCAGTTAGGCACACCCACAGAATATACAGATATAAACAGGCAGGGCACAGTGGCACACACCTGAAATCCTAGCACCTTAAGGCAGAGGCAGGAGGAGCTCCAATTCAAGGCCATCGAGATCTACATGACAAGACCCTTCATCAAATCCCGACAGCTGAGGCTGTACCTCAATGGTACTGCTTGCCTAACGTGCAAGGACCTGGGCAAACAAAATCCTATAAACACCAGAAAAGACTGGTTTGCATCGACTCTGGCAACGGAACTCAAAAGCCAAGAGGAATCTCAGAAAACAGGACAGCGTTCCAGGTGTGTTTCCTGACGTGTGGGGCTGCTAACCAACCCTCCATGGTGGGGATCAGGCAGGACTGTCCTTACCTTGAGATTGATAACGCTCTTTGCTTTTTTGTTGTGAAAGTATCTTTTCTATGGTGAAGGTGATAAGAGATGCTGGTGATTTTACTCAGAAAAAGAAGCTGTCAGGCCCTGTACTGGTCTCCAGAACTTTTTATAGTCCAACATATAGGGTCATCACCCAACGGGTGATCTTTTGGGAAGTCCCCATCCAGACTATGGACAGAGTTCCTTCTAGAAAACTTTTGCTATGCCACAGTGAGATAAGGGATGGATGGGCGAGTCTGCCTGTTTACTGAAAAATGCTGACACCTGAGTGATCACCGTGATGACTGCTCTGTTTTGCCCTAATTGCTGGAACTGGCAAAAATAAACTGTAAACCTATAGGCTAACGCAGAAAACCATTCAAAGACTTTCTAGAATCGTCTTCCATTACCCCACTGCAATGCTCCCACAGGAGGGGAGGCCGGCCACTCACTCAGCCCTGCTCCTGCCTCCTTGTTTTCTCCATGATCTGCCTAATCCCTCATCTTCTTCCTCCTCTTATTTTTGGAAAGAGTCTCATTACCTAGCCTAGGCTGGCCTCAAACTTTCAGTCTTCCTGCTGGTGCCTCCTGAGTGCTGGCCTTACAAATGTGTGCCACTCAGCTGGCTACTCAGCATCTTCTTTGCTTTAGAGTCTCATGTGGCCTCGAACTCCTGATCCTCCAGCCCTTCCTCCACCTCCCAAGTGCTCTGAATCTCTTCTTAAGCTTATATTCTACCTTACATTGCCATTTAACCTCAACCATATTAAAATCTGGAAAAATTTTATCCCTTTGAGGAAACTTATTGAGGCTGAAAATTTCCCAAGAAGGAAACTTCTGATAGCACTGGGAGACAACTTTATGAAGACAGAGGCAAGGATGAGAGGTGCCACTCTAAGCTCAGTTGGTCCAATCCATTTGAGTGGCCCATTAGAAGGGAACAACAATAATGATTTCAAAATCTGGGGAGAAGGGAATCTTTCTAAGCCTAGGGCAACAGAAGGGCACTGCAAAGATCTGATAAAACTGGCTGATGCTGGGAAGGGGAACTTGGTACTCAAGTACAGGATGAACCAGACTGTCCACAGAATACAGAGATCTTGTGGAAATGATGGAGCCGCAAAGTCATGCTACATTGGGTCCTCAATAGGGGCCGTGCACAGCCAAGCAAGGTTCCTGCTGGAATCAAAGGAACAGACATTAAGGCCCCAGTGAAGGAAGCTGCTGTGCTGAGCTGGAATGGGACAAATACATTGTTTCTAGAGAAGTATTCTTCACCTTCCCAATCACCCCCCCTTTAACACAGCCAATCTAGGCGGGTTATTATTTTAGATAATCTCTTATCTAAAATCCTTGGGTCTTCGGAATTCATAATTTCCAAATTTTAGAAAGATGTATTGGAACATCACTTTTCATTTCCAGCAGGGTCAGACAGTATCCATTAGCCGTAGTGACTGTCTGAATAGTTGCCCTTGAGAGATAACTAACACTCTAGGAGCTTTTCCAGGTCAGGTTCTGAGGCCAAAGACAGCTCAGGTCAGATCAGATCAGGGTCAGAGTATTCTGATGTCAGAATGCACATCAACTTCGGATGCTTAGAAGTATTCTTCACCTTCCCAATCACCCCCCTTTAACACAGCCAATCTAGGCGGGTTATTATTTTAGATAATCTCTTATCTAAAATCCTTGGGTCTTCGGAATTCATAATTTCCAAATTTTAGAAAGATGTATTGGAACATCACTTTTCATTTCCAGCAGGGTCAGACAGTATCCATTAGCCGTAGTGACTGTCTGAATAGTTGCCCTTGAGAGATAACTAACACTCTAGGAGCTTTTCCAGGTCAGGTTCTGAGGCCAAAGACAGCTCAGGTCAGATCAGATCAGGGTCAGAGTATTCTGATGTCAGAATGCACATCAACTTCGGATGCTTATAAACAAGGTGATGCCTCTTCTCACTTCAGCAGTCAAGATATAATTGTTTGGTAATGCTGACTTAAGTGTTTGCTACTTTGGGGAACGTTTTAAGCCCCAAACTACAAATAATAGCAATAACAAACTCTGGTAGCTATGACAGAATTGTCTTTATGTGGTATTTTAAACTATGAGAGTTAGAAAAGAGATATACTGCCTTATTTTTTAATTGATGGAAACATGCAGAATATGATTAAAAATTTAAGGTTCACAATTCTCTGCAGAAAACCATCAATGCAAGTCTTACATTTGCAATGATAAATACATATTGTGGAATATACCTTTAAGATGCATTGTCTCTGTGATTTGTATAATTAATTATATATAAAGTCCATGGCACGTATTATCATTCAAGCGCATGTAACATGGCATACCTCTGAATTCAGGAGTAAAATGAAGCGTCTGAAGAAGCGAATTGAGGTAACACGTCCCACCCTGGTTTCTGATTCCACTTAAATTGGTAAATTCTCTGGGAGCAGGTGGCTCCAAAGCTTTAGTCTTTAATTTCTTCCCCTTTCCGTACTGATTTTCTGACACACTGGAATAATCCTCTTCAAAGAGGTTCCCAAACATCGTGGAACTAAATACTATCCTTTAAAGAAAATGACAGGTCACATAAATGCTTTTATTCTTAAAATGAATTTCCCCAAATGTTCCTTGTATTTGGGAGCAGTTGTTTTGCGAAATGGTTCTTTTGATATACACAGTAGTTTGTGTTTTGGGGAGACAAGATCTGATCTCTCTCATCCTTACAGGGATCCTAACTAACTTTGTGTCCCCTTGGCCAACTTCTCTAAAGAAATATTCACTTATATGTAAAATGTTTTGTAGGGCAATTCAGCCAGTCAGGTGACACGACAGAAGGCAAGTACTTAATATAAAGGGCTTTCCCCACACAAATATTAACTGTTCTTTAGGAAAGGAGAAAGCCCACTTCCATCAGCAAACCTAATCTGCTGGGGAGGCAAGGCCAAACCCTAGATTCTGAGACGGTAACAGAGGCCTTGGGACCATCCACCATTTGCTGAAATCTCCGCTTCTCATATCCTTTGGCACACGGTGCCAAAATATACCATTGCAATGAATTAAATTCCTCCCATTAATCTTGATGGCAGTTTGTGAACTTTGGACCCAAACTAGGGAGCCAAGTGGGGGAGAGGGGAAGTTCCCTAGGGAAGAAAGACTCGGGCCACTAAAAGGGTAGAACCCAAGGTCCTCCCAACACACATCCACGGATGCAGCCGGAGTCCTGGGGACCCGAGGGGTGTGCGGTCCGCGGGGTCAGTGAGGGTGTGCTGAGTTGTGTCTAGGGTGGGCAGCGTCACTCGAAGATAAAACAAGACGCTGAGGCAGCTTCCCAGGGACAGGAGGTGCCGGGCTGCACTTCTTCCCGGTCCAGGACTCCGAGGAAGTAGCACACAGCCCGGACTCCGCACCACGCTGCACCGTGGCCCGGGCCTTCCCGCGGCCCCCGGAGACCCGCATCCCCGCCGGCCGCAGAGGCTCGTGCCTCCCCTTCGCTACTCGCACCCGCCCTGCGCCCGGCCCCGGCCCGGGCCCCACTTACGGCCTGAACCCCAGACCCCCACGCCGGACACAGCCGAGCCTGCGCCGCAACGCTCGCGAGGGCGGGTCTCTGGAAAGTGATTTTCTTTTTGGTGTGCGAACTACATTTCCCAGGGTGCTTCGCGGCAGCGTCAGGCCGTCCCGCGCAGACTTATAGGTAATGTAGTTCTAGGGTCCGCGAAGTGGTGGGTAGGGCGGCGAGGCCTTTTCAGTCTGGCTATGTGAACAGCAGCGTTTCATAGGAGAGAACAAAGATCAGTCTTGTATTTTCTGACCACATAAAGGCTTCTTCTCTTTGTAATAAAGTAGAAAAGCTCCCCTCAAAAAAAAAAAAAAAGAAAAAAGAGTTGAGGTTTACACCTGCAGAATTGAAGGCTGAAGCTTTGGAGTCGCCTGCTCTTGGCACCTTCACCAAATTAGGCGGAATAAATACATATTTACACACTTCCTGGTATTGGGTGTACAAAGGCACCTTAGAGACACTTTTCCCCAAGTATATCTAGGGTACCTGTGAAAGATGTTCTACGTTCCCGTGAACCTTACACCACCTTCAATATTCATATCCTCTCCACCAGCTGTGAGTAGTATCTATGTATATAGTGAAAGAAAAGTTCCCCAGAAGAACTCCTGCACCTTGGACTGAACTTCCTGCAAGGCTGACCAACTGATTATCACTCCAGAAATTGTGGAGAGTTTGGAATGTTGCACGTCCAGAGCCTAATTACCATTTATCTTGGGCCATCTTTAGCCCCCTAAACAGCCACTCCTTGCCCACCTCTGTTTCTGATCTAACATCCTGTGACTAACAGATAAAAAATCACCAGCTGTAAGTAGTATCTATGTATATAGTGAAAGAAAAGTTCCCCAGAAGAACTCCTGAACCTTGGACTGAACTTCCTGCAAGGCTGACCAACTGATTATCACTATCACTCCGGAGACTGTGGAGAGTTTGGAACGTTGCAGGTCCAGAGTCTAATTAACCATTTATCTCAGGTCTTCTTTAGCCCAGAACAGCCACACCTTACTTCTGTTTCTGATCTAACATCCTGTGACTAACAGATAAAAACCTTTAGAATGTATTAACTCAGCAGACCACCACGTCTCACCAATCCAAAAGCTAAGAATGTCATCAGATAACGTCTGAGGCCTATAGTAAGACCCCCCTCACTTTGCTATGACCCGCCTACTGAATGTATCCGCCAATGTATTTGAAAAGTGTCTTGATTTGTAACTTTTCTTTGTTCTGTTACTATAAAAATATAAGACAGCTGTTACCACACTGGAACATGGAATTTGGAGTAACCTGAATCTGTGTTCCCGGGCCACAGTCACTCATATTTGGCTCCAGAATAAACTATCTCTTATCACCTTTGAGGTGAGAGTTATGCTTTTGTGTCGACAATATCTATATAACCATGAAAAAAAAATGATATTTTTCCGCTGAGCACTTCAAGTGGGCTATCTTCATGGCCCAGGTGCACCCAGACATGAAGGAGGAAAACGAAATAATTTTGATTTCGGCTTAGAGTTTGAGAGCTTGAGAACAGGAGTGAGGTTGGAGAAAGACGCAGAGGAGGGGGGGAGGGAAAGTGAATGTATTTGGAACATTTAGGGGAGACTGGTGTGACTGGAAGGTTCAGGAAGCTTGGGGAGTAAAGAACTGGGCGAGGGGGTAGGATGGGCTATGGTTAGCCTGAGAGAGGCTCCTTTAGTTGCTATAGCTTTGTGATATAGCTTGAAAGCGGGTATGCAATGCCTCCAGCTTTGTGGCTTTGCTTTGACTAATTAGAGTTTTCTGTGGCTCTTTATATACTTTAGGAGTTTTAAAAAATATTTCTATTGATTCAAGATTTTCATACAATGTACTTGATCATATTCAGACCCCCTCTACCCTCATCTCGCTACCCCCCAAGTTCCTGTCCTTTATTATTGTCTTAATAAAAAATGCCTATCGAGTCTAATCTGTATTTCTTAAATGCTCTTGGGTGTGGGTCTGGCCCTTGGAGTCTGGTCAACCTACCAGGTGTCAGTCAAACCCCAGCTCTCCCTTTTGTTATGGAAAAATCAAAGACCAGTAGCCAAAGTCAGGTGGGAGAGGGAGTTTAATTTTACACTAGTGGGCTGCTCCAGGGCCTTTCCCATTTGGGGGACTTTATATTCATATGCAAGCAAAAGGCAAAACAACACATAGGTGACAATTAAGTAAAAAGGGACACGTGATAATTAAGCAAGGTCATATATGGCAGCAAAGGTTGTAGGGATGTGAAAACTTTGAAAAAGAAAGACTTCCATCCTGGGCAACCACTGGGAGGGCAGGATGGGGAGATGCCGGCTCACCTCCCCCATACCTGTCTCTTAAGAGCTTTCCCTGCTCCAAAGTTCTTAATTACCATGACATTGCAGAAGCTTTCCATTTCCATAATACTTTCTGTGCTGGATAGCTTTAGTGTCAACTTGACACACCTGGGTAGAGGGAGCCTCAACTGGGGAATTTCCTCCATAGGACTGGCCTGTGGCCATGTCTGTGGGGCATCTTCTTGATGAGTGATGTGGGAGGGCCCAGCCTACTGTGGGTGGTGCAATCCCTGGGCAGGTGGGCCTGTGTTGCATCAGAAAGCAGGCTGAGCAGGGGCCAGGGAGCAAGTCAGTAAGCAGCTTTCCTCCCCCATTCCTCTCTCCACTTTCTGACTGCAGGTGCAATGTGACTAGATCCTTGGAGCTCCTGCAGCCATGACTCCCCTGCTGTGATGGAAGTTGCTTTTGCCAGGTATTGTAGGACCCTGAGACCCTCTTCATTCACCCGCTACCCCCCAATCCCTCCAGACCCCAACTAATTGCTCTTTTAGCTTCTGTAAAATGCTTGGCAGCTGCTTTAGACATGCCTAGACATGCCCTGACCCCCGCCTGCTATCCCCCCCCTTCCAGGAAACTATAGATTAAGCAAGCCCGGGCATGAAAACTGCCCTATAACGTAAAAAAATGGAGACTCCTGGCCCCACAGATAACAGTCAGCACATTCCACAGCCCT